GGGCTCCTCCTGGATGAGCTTTTGACTGCGACTTACGCTTGCATTTTGATCTTGAATCTTCAGCAATCCCTCACACCAAGCATGCATGCAGCGACAATGAAGAGGAAAACCCCCTTTTAACAGGAAGAAACGTGGCTCCAGCAGAACCAGGTTCAGTGTGAGCGGCCAGTAGCTGAGGCAGACGGGTTCAAGGAGACAGAAGCAGAGGGTAGCTGTCAACCAGTTCCGCGGGTGGCCCTGTCCTGCAAAGTCTCAGCCATGCAGATGAGCTCCGAGCCAATTCCCATGTCGGAGGATGAAAGAGAACAAATATAGTCACCGAAAAAAAAACAAAAATAGACGAACGTCAACATTTATAAACAAAGGTGTCGAGGGCAAGGGCGTAGGTTTGATTTGAACTTTGGTAGGGACACTATTGGTCTGGTGTCATTGGTGCTATGCAATATGCATGCCCTTTTTTTATGCTCGATGTGAGCATCCGTGCTGATAAGAGCAATTCATTGTTAAAAGAGAAAAGCATCATTTTGCTACATTAATAAAAATGTTATAAGCACTACACTCATTAGATGCTGTTTATCAATGTTTGAAGTATCACCGGCTCTGATGAATGTGGAATTAGGACTGTTTTCCATTTTGAAAATGGTTTCATTTGAACGACTAAGAGAGAAGGTAAATACAGTATTTTCTTTTGAAGATATAGAATTATGCAGAGGTAAACCCCACTCTTATATTTTTACCTACTATGCTCTCTTTATATCAAGCAAAATAATACATTCATTAAAATATTAACTTCACTATAAAAGTTGAACATCTGGGCTGTAGTTACTCTGTGTAGCCCAATTCATGTATTTTATCTGGGGCTGAAAAAATTTATTATATTAATTGATTATTTCAATAATTGTCAACTAATTTAGTAATTGATTCATCATTAACTGAAGAATAGAGACTATAAAACATAATCTAAATGTAAAATGTGCCTTTCCCCGACAGAGCAACCCACTTAAATCAGTAATTATACCAAAATTGTAAAAATATTAAAAAAAAAAAAAACTGTTTTCTCACCCCTCGTGGGGTGGTATGTGTCATCCTCAAGCTCGGGTCCTCTACCAGAGGCCTGGGAGTTTGAGGGTTCTGTGCAGTATCTTAGCTGTTCCTAGGACTGCGCTCTTCTGGACAGAGACCTCTGATGTTTTACCTGGAATCTGCTGTAGCCACTCTCCCAGTTTGGGGGTCACAGCCCCCAGTGCTCCAATTACTACTGGCACCACTGCTGCTCTTACTTTCCACATCTTTTCTAGCTCCTCTTTCAGCCCTTGGTATTTCTCAAGCTTCTCGTGTTCTTTCTTCTTGATGTTGCTGTCGCTTGGGATTGCCACATCTATCACTACTGCCTTCTTCTGCTGTTTGTCCATCAACACGATGTCTGGTTGGTTAGCCATCACCTGTTTGTCAGTCTGGATCTTGAAGTCCCATAGGATCTTAGCTGGGTCATTCTCAACTACCTTAGGAGGTGTCTTCCATTTTGACCTTGGGACTTCCAGCCCATACTCATGGCAGATGTTCCTGTACACTATGACAGCTACCTGGTTGTGGCGTTCCATGTATGCACTTCCTGCCTGCATTTTACACCCTGCTGTTATGTGCTGTATTGTTTCAGAGGCATCTTTGCACAGTCTGCATCGGGGGTCCTGCCTGGTGTGGTAGACCCTGGCCTCTATTGATCTTGTACTGAGTGCCTGTTCTTGTGCTGCCATGATTAGTGCCTCTGTGCTGTCCTTCAGTCCAGCCTTCTCCAGCCACTGGTAGGATTTTTTGATATCAGCCACTTCTTCTATTTGTCTGTGGTATATGCCGTGCAGTGGCTTGTCCCTCCATGATGGTTCTTCCTCTTTCTTGTCCTCGCTTTCGGTTTTCTCCTGCCTGAGGTATTCACCAAGCCATTTGTCTTTGGGGGCCATCTTTCTGATGTACTCCTGGGTCTTAGTTGTTTCATCCTGGACAGTGGTCTTGACACTCACTAGCCCTCGGCCTCCCTCGCTACGCTTGGCATACAGTCTCAGGGTGCTGGATTTGGGGTGGAACCCTCCATGCATTGTGAGGAGCTTTCTTGTCTTGATGTCAGTGGCCTCTATCTCCTCCTTTAAACTGCTCCTCCTAATAAACTGCTCCTAATAAACTGGCCAAAGGAGGAGATAGAGATTATATATATATATATAAAATATTAAAAAAAATGTTTTTGTCTGTCAATATTCTCCATCCAGAGCTCCTCATGAGGAAATATTTTTGTATCACCTGGTTTATTTAGACATCACCTGAAGCACTGAAGGGCAGCTGCTTCACCTACAAGCTGCCTTGCATCATTATTACTGGATATCTGTGTTTCCTATAATCATATAATGTATAAGTGCATTTTTAATAGTAAAGGATTAAATGTAACACAACCTTTTATCATTGTCCTATATTGCTTACTGTCTGACTGTTTAAATAGCTCCTCATGTCTATTTTCTTTTTCAGTGGCATCATCTACAAACACAACACTAAGAATGAGCCTAAGTTTATTCAAATATAAAATCACTTTTAACAATTATAAAAGACAATGTAACACCATCTTATCTGTAATTTAATAATATAAAAAATATACAGCCATATTCAAGCATTTTTACCAGACATTAATGTTTGTACTAATTTACTTATAGACTGTGTGGAAATCTATGTAAGATAAAATGAATGTTGATATTCTTCATCTGTTTGTTCTTGTCTTTATCCTATTTCTAGAAGTATAAATAGTCAATTAAATTACTATTATTATGTGGAACCCTAATTATGCTTTTTAAACGATAAACAGCAGATGTTTAGCCACCATTTCTTGTTGTTATACTCTATAAGAGAAATAACACCTGCTAATAATTATACCTGAACTTCCTCAAAGAGTCATCAAAAATTGAAAACAGTAACAGCAACTAAATATCGGTAAAAAGGAAACCCTCACATTTTCTTTTTTAGTTGGCTGTGGCTAAGAATCAGAAATGTTGATGGCTTACAGCCTTTATTTGCCCATTTTTCCAGCAGTCTACAGAACTCCTGGCTGACTCAGAATATTTCGTTTTATAAAAGAAAAAAAAAGGTTTTTGTTTTTTAGTGTACATGATATTAATTTTTTTTTTTTTATTGGGACTTGTTTTGTAGCCTAATAATAATTGGAGTAAACGCAGCATTCTAGTGTGAATACATTTTCAATGTCTTGCTCCAAGCACACGCGGACTAGAAAACAGCCAATCACAGGGAGAGAAGGCGGAACCTAAGGCAGAACAACCAATGAGAGTGGAGTTAAACAGCGCAGCACAGTTCCATGCGCTGCTGCGTGAAAGGGACAGGAGAGACAAGGCAGAGGAGCTGCGAGAGGAAAAGAAGCCACTGCTGCAACAACTACTGCTGTAAATTATAAACACGTTGCTCACGTCCAATTATTGGTCGGGACAATTAGGTCGGTTCAAAATTTTGGTAGGGACATGTCCCTATGGTCCCTATGCAAACCTACGCCCATGGTCGAGGGCAACAGCTCAGCTGATAATTCAAACCAGGTTGGAGTAACAGCCAAACAGGTACAGATAAGCCACTATGACAAAAAAAATAAAAAAGTTAGAGGTGAAAGTAACAAATACTACAGAATGGGAGAATACAGATAAAAAATGAAAAGGGGCTCCTCTGTCCTCCAGCAGCCTAACCCTTTAGCAGCATATATATAGAAAATAGCTAAGGATAACCCTACTATGAGAAAAGTTTCAATTAGCACAGCTTTAAAACTTGAAATTCTTGCTTCAAAGGCTGATAGCTTTCCGTCCAACCATAAGGTTAATTGGATCAAAACAGAAAACTTTTGTTTTTTTCTTAAACATTAACTCTGTTTACTTAATAAGCAATTTTAGATGATATTTTTGCTTGTTTAACAAGTTTTATAGTAAAAGAAGTTGACTTGTAGGATTTTCAATGCACGTTTTGACTTGTTAGATCCTAAACTTAAAATATAGAGCATTAAATGTTGAGAGAAGTGCATTTCATGCTTGAAAATATATTTTAAATTTATTTTTGTGACATAGGGAGGATGCTGAGACACAATTAAAGTAGGCCTTTAATTAAATGCACATGATCAAACTGACCAACACAAAATATAAGTGTAAATCTATTCATTTGTGGCTCTAATAAAATATGCAATTTGCTTTAGAGGGGGTGAATACAAGAAGAACTAGGTTGAATTTTCAAATGATTTCATTGTGCTCTTCAACTTTTAATTACAGGCTTATTACATATATAGCAAGCTATTTGAATTATAACAATGGTTTTTTGCTTTTTTTTTATTTACTAAACCTGTAATTTAGTTTTTTCCTGTAACATATCAACATTTTAAAGAAACATGCCTCTAGATAAAATGTAGTTAGGACTTTGATAAGTGGATTTTATGGCATTAAATAAGGGAGATTACTACCAGGGAGATTTTATAACCCACTGAGTAAAACCAGAGATTGATTAAACTAGTGGTTGCTGGTGAAGGTTCTCAGTCCTCCAGGTCATAGTCATTCCAAAAAAAACAACAAAACAAAACAGAAAAATACAATCCACTGGACTTTGTTTCCAAGTTTGGAGGCGTTTTGCTTCCTATCCAGAAAGCTTTTTCAATTCAAAATGTCAGAAATAGCGTTGAGTTCGAGGCTATTTCTGACATTTTGAATTGAAAAAGCTTTCTGGATGAGAAGCAAAACGCCTTCAAAATGGGAAACATAGTCCAGTGGATTGTTTTTTTTTTAACTTTTTTGGAATGAGTAAAAGTAATTTTTAACTTATAAATATTAAACTTTTTTAAATATAGAGGTTGACCATGCCGACAGATCTGATAGTAATTTGAACGCAATAAATTAAGATTTGAGAAAAAATTATTCCAGTGTTTTCTCCTCTTTCAGTAAGGCAACGATTTTTCCTGCTAAGTGACACATCGTGCATTATTAGACGAGCTATGCTTTGTGGGCGTTTCCCTGAGTGGAGTGACTGCTCTCTGTTTATCCTTTGACTCCTCTCTCTGGGAGCAGGACTGCTGAAGAAAGGAGCAACCATGGCACCTGCCAAGAAGAACAGAGTGTTTGTTATTGGTGTGGGAATGACCAAGGTATGGTTTTTATTTTTGTTATTTACTTACCTTTCAGTCTAACGCCATAATACTTCTTCCTATGCGCTGCTAAATTTGGACGTTAGCATTGTTTGCTAATTCTGCTGCGAACCAGACGTTTACTTGCTGCTGTCACTAGTGTCTGCAATGTCTATCATCATAACGAACTAGTGGAAATATTTCCCTTCACTGTTACCCTGAATAAAAACACTTTTGTTGACAGAGATTGTTTATCTGTTTAATGTTGCAGCACTAATAGATCATAGTTCAATGTCCTCTAAAGTTATCCAAGCAGGACAAAGTTCGTCTCTCTGAGAAAGTTATTAACCCCTAACCTTCAGTCTACGGAAGAGGATTTGGGCCACTGAAAAAATAATAGAAAATCGTAACTGATTTTTAAATTTTATTTCATGTTAACATGCGAAAAAGTCAGAATTCTGACTTTAATCTCAGAATTCTGACTTTAATCTCAGAATTCTGACTTTTTTCCTCAGAATCCGGACTTTTCTCCTCAGAATCGGACTTTAATATCAGAATTCGGACTTTTCTCCTCAGAATTCGGACTTTTCTCCTCAGAATCTGCCTTTTTTCCTCAGAATTCTGACTTTAATCTCGAATTCTGACTTTTTTTCCTCAGAATTCTGACTTTAATCTCAGAATTCTGAATTTAATCTCAGAATTCTAGCTTTTTTTCTCAGAATTCTGACTTTAATCTTAGAATTCTAGCTTTTTTTTCTCAAAATCCTGACTTTTTTCTCAGAATCCTGACTTTTTTCTCAGAATCCTGACCTTAATCTTAGAATTCTGACTTTAAACTTAGAATTCTAGCTTTTTTTTCTCAGAATCCTGACTTTTTTCTCAGAATCCTGACCTTAATCTTAGAATTCTGACTTTAAACTTAGAATTCTAGCTTTTTTTTCTCAGAATCCTGACTTTTTTTCTCAGAATCCTGACTTTTTTCTCAGAATCCTGACCTTAAAGGAATAGTACACCCAAAACATGATTAGCCTTCATTTTCTACTCACCCCCATGCTCAACAACACTCTGGAGTACTTTTTTGATATCTCAAATGCATCTGGAGATCTGGGAGGCTTCTTGCTGTCTGCTGACATTCAAATAATGGAGGTCTATGGTGCCCGAGGCAGAAAGGTCCATAAAAGTCCACAAAAACGTGTCAATATTCCTCCATACTGCTCGTCCAATTTATTCCAAATGTCCTGATTGGGTAGCATCCAGAATTTACTCGAAACGAAGTCATTTAGAATGTTTTTAGAGCATAAACAGTAGTGTATAGGATTTCCTGAAAGCGCGCACATGCGCGTTCACAAGTCTATGGAAACCGCAGCAGACCAAACCAGATGAAAGTGCGCACCTTTCTGCCTCGGGCACCATAGACCTCCATTATTTGAATGTCAGCAGACAGCAAGAAGCCTCCCAGATCTCCAGATGCATTTGAGATATCAAAACACTAGTGTATAGGATTTCCTGAAAGCGCGCACATGCGCGATCACAACGCTACGGAAGCCGGCAGACCAAATCAGATGAAAGTGCGCATTCAGCGTCTGCTCTTCCAATAATGCAAGCGTAGAAGAAGAAATGTGCTGTTTACCTGTGCAAAGAAAGAAACAACGAAAGAAAAATGTCTGAGGACTTCAGTGAGTTCTTTGCCGAGCTGAATGCGCTGGTTTGGTCTACCGGCTTCTGTAGCGTCGTGATCGCGCATGTGCGCGCTTTCAGGAAATCCTATACACTACTGTTTATGCTCTAAAAACATTCTAAATGACTTCGTTTCGAGTAAATTCTGGATGCTACCCACTCAGGACACTTTGAATACATTGGACGAGCAGTATGGAGGAATATTGACACGTTTTTGTGGACTTTTATGGACCTTTCTGCCTCGGGCGCCATGGACCTCCATTATTTGAATGTCAGCAGACAGCAAGAAGCCTCCCAGATCTCCAGATGCATTTGAGATATCAAAAAAGTACTCCAGAGTGTTGTTCAGCATGGGGGTGAGTAGAAAATGAAGGCTAATCATGTTTTGGGTGTACTATTCCTTTAATCTTAGAATTCTGACTTAAATCTTAGAATTCTAAATTTTTTCCCACTTTAAACTGAAATAAAATTTTAAAAAATCAGTTTACTTCTTTAATTATTTTCAGTGGCCCTAATCCTCTTCCGTAAGATCCGGTTCTGGTTGAAGATATAAGCCTTGCAACCTAATCTCAGTTTTCATTTATGACATCATGACAATTTAGACACATTCATGAATTGACATTAAGAATACAGGTTCAAATTCTCCACACTATGGCTGCAACTTACCATTAATTCACTAATCGGTTAATCTGTCACATTTTTAAAAAGTTTTATTAATGGATAATAGTCGATGCTTGAAGGAATCTTTTATACAGAATTTACATCAGAAAGCTACACCTAAGCCACTTAAGAAGATCTGGATAGAGCATGTTCACAGATAAAAAAGTTTTTCCTCTTAAATGCAAAATGTTTATTTAATTTTTTACTATTTTGTCTTTTTGTATTAAACAGAAAGTAGCAACTAGGAAGATGTGTGAAGACGTTCAATAGCTAATTCAGACTTTTTTCAGTAGATAGATTGCACCTTTAATTTCCCAGCTAATATAATCCTGAACGACAAAAAACCGAGAAAAAACAATAAAATTATTAAGGAGAGAAAGTGTTTAAGTGTTATTTTTTGTAATTTCTGAATCAACTTGACTTTTGTTTTTATTTATTTCTGCAGTTTGACAAACCTGGAGCCAGAGACTACCCAGATATGGCCAAAGAAGCAGGTAATTATATCCAGATAAAGTTCTTCTTATCTCAGAAATCCCTTTTAAAAGACATATAACCGTGTGGTTGGTTTTTCTAGGCTCTCCTATTATGGAACCTTTATTATTTCTCAAGATGTCTATTGATGCCTGATCAATCAGAAAGACTCTAAGCAGTCTGAAGATCTTTTTCTAAACCTAAAGGAGAAATAAACAGATCCTTTATATTCAATATAGCAAATAACTTTTAAACCTCTCAAATGTTTCTTGTGAATTTGTTTTTGGACAAACATGAACATCCCCGTAGATTTTTATGGACTCGCTTTATGCGGCTCCAACAGCTTTAGCACTTCTAGATGGATGTTCTGAAAGATTTGCGTTTGTTTTTAGGGGAAAATATATACATTTTTCAGGAGACCAGAGACTGATGATGGAGGAGAAGACCTGGTTAGTTGATTCTGCTCTAATTGGCCCCAATATGTTATAAAACTCTAGGCTGCTTTGAGTCTGATACTGAAGCTGTTAGGAGTCACTGCTGCCACCCTCTGGTTTAGGGAGAAACTGCTTGTTCCACCAAATAATGTTAAAGAATCCTTTAAAAAAAAAAACTGCATCCGGATTATGATGTGGATCATTACTAAAATTTAATGGATTGTTCCCTGGACTGAGGTGCACATTTGGTAAAAATTTATCAAATCCGTTGATAACTTTTCAAGTTATCAGACGGACAAACAAACAACTAAAAATGTCACATTCTTGGCAGAGGTAAAAAATAAGGGGAATAACATATAAAATGCTACATCTACTACAACTAACCTTATAAACCTTTTAAGGTCCACATTTGTGTGACCACTTTTGCTGAAATGCTTTGCTTCTGTTGCGCCTCTATTTCCCCATTGTGGGACAATAAATGGATTTTCTATTCTATTCTATTATATGGGTGGATGGATGGGTTAAATGCAGAGGTAAATTTCTCCAGTGTGAGATAAATAAGGTTCAATTATTATTTTATTAATCTATTATAACATAACTTGGAGATTTACTCCCCCTAGTGGTCAAATGCTCTTCTGTTTTTTTCATTTAGAGCAACTTTGCCGCTTTGTTTTAACTTGCTAAATTTTTTGACCCTGCAGCATTTTTTCCCTCTAATACTACGTTCACACCTAAAGCAGCAGAGGCAGCAGGAGCAACTAGTTTACATGCAAAAAATATGGCTGACGGGCATCAAGGTGCAGCAAAACGTCCCGCAGCGCGTTTTGAGCAGCAGGAGCAGCCCGTCTGAGCAGCTGCTGCTGGAGTTGGGAAAAATTGCCTTTGCTGCTCGAGGCGCCACATTAACCAATCAGAGGTGCTGATCTGGGAGCTGGCAGGGAGACAGACACATCGCTGATGATACAGATCGCTATGATCACTCCTCTGAAACAGTTCATTTACGCCTAAATTAACTTAAAATGCTGAAACCTGCCGGAAAAGCATGTTCACTTTTATTATCCTGGTGCCTGCAGTGTGGATTACGTACACAAAAAACGCCTTACAGCTGCAACAGCAAACCGCCAAGAGTTGAACGGGCCAGAGGCTGCTGTTGATTGGGATTCCCGATGACAGAGCATGTATGTGAGGGGCTGAGCGGCTCTGACAGCGGAATAATATTTGAAGGCAGGATGGATTTGAATGAACTGTCTGCACAGATTAAGTTTTCAGGTGTCTTTTCTCACTTCAAAATAGATTCCAACTACTTTTTACCTACTGATCACAGCAAATATAGCTGCCATTGTTACAGGCAAATAAAGCACAGGGTAGCTCCGCCCAATTGTTCCACCACGCAGCCAGAGCAGCAAAGCTGCTTCAGCCGTGCGCCAGAACTAAACTTGTAGAAGCATCAAAAATGAAGCAGCATCATGAGTTTTTGCTGCTCTTGCTGCTTGCGGTCTGAACGTAGCATTAGTGTTTTTTTTAAAAAGATTTTGGAATTTGCATGATTTGTGTATCTGCGGTAGGGGTGTGCAAAATAATCGTCATGATGATGCATCGTGATTCTAATTTTCGTGATCTACTGCATCGATTCTTGTATCGATTCAAGTATCGATTATTAATTTAAAAAAATAAAATTGCATGAATGGTTGGCGAACATCAGCCAAAAACAAGTGTAATACAACTTCCAGTCCAGTAAATGTTGCTGCAAATGTGTTGACGCACGCTGCCTTGTGTCACAAGCATTTCCGGCCGTGGGATACTGCGCCGAGTCATTCAAAAACAAAACATGGAGGAGAAAATATTGCAATGCATCGCAATAATTCAAGTATCGTGATGCATCGTGATAGGATCGCATCGTGGCCTGTGAATCGTGATTCGAATCGAATCGTGACTTCTTTGGCAATACCCACCCCTAATCTGCGGCGCGTTTGTCGTATCTCCAGTCCTTTTGTTTCCACCTGTTGGCCCCCTTATAAAAAAAAAAGCAATTGCAATGGCTGAAATCAATGGTTTGGAGAAGTGCACTAATAAATGAAGCACTGCAGTATATTTGATGTTTCCATTCATTATTCAGAGCTGTAGGTCTCCCCCTACAGGTTTCAAACATTTGACGTAAACAAGCAGATTTCTAATCCCTCTCCACACTGGAAAAAAAATATTTAAAATCATTATAGAATTATAGCAAAAAGAAACATTTTCTGACCTTAAGTGGGAAATTTATCATCTGATTCAGAGTGTTTGTGTTTCTATATACAGTGAATGAATATATCTGGTTTCATCTATAAGCCGTGCTTTAGCCAATTGTAGCTTGTTTTGCTTATTTTATTTTTGGGAAATAATTTATGCTTTCAGTTTTTCTACTAACCTTTAAAGAGCAGAGATTTCAGTACGGTTCTCCAGATCCTTATAGCTGGTAGCTGAACTAAAATCCTGTTTGTTTAGTGTTTGTCTGGTTGTGTTGTAGGTGAAAAAGCTCTAAGAGATGCAGGGATCCCGTATTCAGCTGTTGAGCAAGCCTGTGTGGGCTACGTTTATGGTAAGACTCTGAGTTTATATTGGTCTCAAACTAATGTTTATTTAAACGGGATAAAGGTAAGTAGATTTTATAATCGTTATTAAGGCCTTTTGACACTATGTAATGTGTATCTAAGACGTTTTTTTATCTGTGCTTTTATCTCAGGGGACTCCACATGTGGTCAGAGAGCTATCTACCACAGCCTGGGTCTGACAGGAATCCCCATCATCAACGTGAACAACAACTGCTCCACCGGCTCCACCGCTCTCTTCATGGCTCGCCAGCTGATTCAGGGAGGTGAGTCCTATAAGAGGCTGTGAAAAGTGCTGAACAGGACGGGAGAATGTTTCCTTTGGAAAAAACTAATTAATGTTGGATCTGTTGATTCCATTCATGGCTGAAAGCATCTTTAATGTGTTGTTGATGTTTTTGCAGGTCTTGCTGACTGCGTGCTTGCCCTCGGTTTTGAAAAGATGGAGAGAGGCTCCTTGACTTCCAAAGTATGACTCATTATTTTTTTCACTCATGCTTGTTTATATCCTTTTTACATTTTAGTAATAATGTTGCAGCCTGTCTGTCTTTATCATCACTTTATGATGTCACTGCAGACTTACTGTAGAGATTCTGGACCCCTTTGTATGTTTGGGCAGACTATACTTACAGGAGATCTGAGGATGAATCCTAATAGTTTTACTTACTTTAATAAATCCTGATTGAATTTCAACATAGGCAGAAGACATTGATGAAATGATTAACATTCCCTCATAGCAGCCATACTGCTCAGGGTAAGCCATCCTAGCCCCTGGGAGGTTAGAGCAATGATGCCCAACAGAAACCAGCACACACTCTTTCTTTTTTTCATTATTTCTTTCGTTCTTTCTCGCAGTTTTTTCTCCGTTCTTTTTTTTCTTTGTTATTCTTTTTTCTTTCTTTGTTTTTTTATTTCTTGTCCTTTTTTAATTTATTTTTCTATTTTCTTTTTTCTTTTAGTCTTTATTTTTTCTTTTTTCCATATTTTGTTCTCTCTTTTTTCTTTTTTCATTCTTTCCTTCTTTTTTCTGAAATCTTTTTACTTTGTTTGTTTGTTTGTTTCTTTCTTTCTTTATTTTTTCTTTCATCTTTTTAGTTTGTTTGTTTGTTTGTTTGTTTCTTTCTTTCTTTCTTTCTTTCGAGACATGACGTTTCTTATTTAGAAACGTATTAAAATTTTTTAAAGAAAATTGTTACCAAAGGTGCTCCTCATGCAAAACAACAATTCATATTCATATTTGGTAATGATCCAGATTATGTGTGAGTTTTAGCTATAGATGTAAGTCACAATATGGGATAACATTTGCTCCTTGGAGGAGGTCTGCGCTCTCAGAGGGCTTTAACTAGTTTTAATGTTGGTGTTTAAAGAAATAGTACTCCCAAAACATGATTAGCCTTCATTTTCTACTCACCCCCATGCTGAACAACACTCTGGAGTACTTTTTTGATATCTCAAATGCATCTGGAGATCTGGGAGGCTTCTTGCTGTCTGCTGACATTCAAATAATGGAGGTCTATGGTGCCCGAGGCAGAAAGGTGCGCACTTTCATCTGGTTTGGTCTGCTGCGGTTTCCATAGACTTGTGAACGCGCATGTGCGCGCTTTCAGGAAATCCTATACACTACTGTTTATGCTCTAAAAACATTCTAAATGACTTCGTTTCGAGTAAATTCTGGATGCTACCCAATCAGGACACTTGGAATAAATTGGACGAGCAGTATGGAGGAATATTGACACGTTTTTGTGGACTTTTATGGACCTTTCTATCTCGGGCACCGTAGACCTCCATTATTTGAATGTCAGCAGACAGCAAGAAGCCTCCCAGATCTCCAGATGCATTTGAGATATCAAAAAAGTACTCCAGAGTGTTGTTCAGCATGGGGGTGAGTAGAAAATGAAGGCTAATCATGTTTTGGGTGTACTATTCCTTTAAACAGTGTTAAAAGTTGTCAGACTCACAGGATACTTAGTGATTACTTCTGGAATCCTCTTTTATGGATGTAGTATTGTTTAATGGATGTTTTTTCATTTTAAAGTTCATGGATAGGACCAATCCAATGGACAAGCACATGGAGGTGATGATCAACCGTTATGGGATGGCAGCAGCACCGGGAGCACCGCAGATGTTTGGCAACGCCGGCAGGGAGCATATGGAAAAATACGGTAGTTTGGGTTTGGTTATGTCTCCATTGAGAACTGAATTAAAGAGAGTCATAGAGGATGACCTTTGATCTTTTGACCTACTAGGATGAAATAGCAATAATGTTGTCTTTATCAGGGTTTAAAATGATTAAAATCTAACCTAATGATTCTTTTCTGAATCATTCTAATGTCTAATTCTTCAGCCTCACAGTTTCAATCTCCAGAACTGAGGCTCAGGTTTCCTTACAAAGGCAGTAATTTCTGCTTTGCCTCCACTTATTGACTAATTTCTTCCTCCTTTTCTTATTCAGCTTTCATAATCTGGCCAAACTGATCTATTCTATCCTGTTTAGGTTTGATATTTGTGTTTCTTTTCCTCATTTTTAGGCACGAAACCAGAACACTTTGCTAAGATTGCTTGGAAAAACCACAGGCATTCCACCAATAACCCGTAAGAGAAAACTTTAAGCTGCAGTTTTTCTGAGTTTGGTTTAGTTTTGTCTTCTAATACGACCATTTTTTTCTCTTTTCTGACCTGTTTAAACTATTGTTTTTTCTGCAATTGTACTGCAGGTATTCCCAGTTCCAGGATGAGTACAGTTTGGAGCAGGTGATGAACTCCAGGAAGGTGTTTGACTTTCTCACTCTTCTGCAGTGCTGGTAAGAATGTTATTCATTAGCAGGGGTCGCTGCACTCCAAAAACAATCTAGAAATAAGTACACATTTCTTAAATTAAGTGTATTCATCCTTAATTTGAGTAGGTAAATGAGATAGTTTGCCAATGGAATGAGTAATTTTACACTTAAAATAAGATATTAGATAATTTGCACTTGAAATAAGACAATGCAATTGTGTTTTCTTATTTTAAGTGTAAATTGTCTTGTTCCATTGGCAAAATGTCTCTTTTACCTCCTCAATTCAAGAACAAATGCACTTATTTTAAGAAAAAATTACTTATCTAGATTTAGATTTTTTTGCAGTGTAACTTAAGAAAGCAACGTGTAAACAGGTAGAGATTAACCCTGCTTTTCTGTAATCAAGCCCAACTTCAGATGGAGCTGGAGCAGCGGTTCTGGCCAGTGAGGCCTTTGTTAGGAAGCACCATCTTGAAAACCAGGCGGTGGAGATCGTGGCTCAGGAGATGGTGACCGACTTTCCTTCCACATTTAGCGAAAACAGCTGCATTAAGATGGTAGGATACGCAAAAGGAGATGATTCTAATACTTAATAGAGCGTTTCAGACCTTGAATGCTTTCCTCCTTTTCGCGCACAGGTCGGATACGACATGTCTCGGCTAGCGGCTAAAAAGTGCTTTGAGGCTGCGGGTCTGAAGCCGAGCAACGTTGATGTGGTCGAGCTGCACGACTGCTTCTCCGCCAACGAGCTCATCACTTACGAGGCTTTGGGTTTGTGTGAAGAAGGTGAGGCACTGACTGCTACACCAGCTTGGAACCTGAGAAGCTTATCCTGCCAACCATCACCTGCCTGCTGGAATCTAAGTGATGCAATGCAGCTATAAATGATCTGTGCTGTTATTTTTATATACTTTCATGAATTACTTTTCATCCTAATTTTTCTGACTTTTTTCCTTCTGTTTCAATCATCAGTTTTAGCATCTTAGCTACTAAACATTTACATCTGATTTGGACTTAAGGTGCCATTCACACATTTTAGGTGTAAATTAAGTGTATTACCCTTAATTTGAGTAGGTAAATAAGATGATTTGCCAATGGAATGAGTACTTTTACTTTAAAAAAAAGATAATTAGACAACATGCACTTGAAATGAGACAGTGCAGTTGTTTTTATTTTTTATTTTAAGTGTTAATTGCCTTGTTCAATAGGCAGTCAACTGTCTCATTCACCTCTTCAATTTAAGAATAAATGTACTTATTTTAAGAAAAAAATGACATATTTAGATTTCAGTTTTTGCAGTGAAAATATCTCTGTATCATTAGTCAAAACTCGCTTTTAAACCTCAGATCAAATACAAGGCAGGTTTATTTGTATTGCACAATTTAGTACACAGACAATTCAAAGTGCTTTACATGAATGACAATATGAAACAGAAGGAAATGAAAAGCAGAATAACATCAAGTACCGATGAAAACAGGCAATAAAGCAAATAAAACAGCTGTAGCACAAAATTAAGCTAATGATGCCTCAGTGAACAGTTTTAATTTTACCTTTCAAAAGCAGTTCCTAACAGATGGGTTTTAAGCTTTAACTTTAAAGAACTCAGGCTTTCAGCATGTCGAAGTCTCCTCGGAGTTTCTTCCATAAAAGTGGAGCATAGGAACAAATGCTGCTTCTGGAAATAGTTTGTATTCATGTTAAATGTAGTATGTCAATCTTTAGGTTTAGAAGATCACAGTTATCATTTCAGGCCTTTAAATTGTTTGTGTAGGAATTTTTTTTTTATCACACATGACCTGTTGTCTTAAAAATTCACAAGCAAATAAAAAATTGAAAGCATTAAAATCCATAGAATCATACAAAAAGACATTGAGATATCATCTTTGCGATATTTTATATAAAGATGGGTTCTCGGGACAATTTGGTTAAATTCTCAGAACCATCTTCTTAATAAAATAATTAAATGTCCATCATCATCACTCACTTAGTTTATAATGAAAGGAACAACACAACTGCTTTGTAGAGGTTGTACCGTCTCTGTTCCTTAATCTGAACATCTGGCACTTATAATCACTTAAAGAAAAAAACAGGGAAAGAACTGGTTCATAACGCATCACATCTGTCAACATTCTGTGTACCACGGACCTTCTCCTAATCCCATCATTGGACCACTGGCGTTTTTTCCATCATTATGAACAATCAATTTGGTGTTAAGTACATCTTAGACCTTTGTGTGTGGAATCCTTTGATTTTATTAGTCTAATTAATTATATTAGCCTTTGTTCTTTCTATTGATGGATAATATTTGTTTTCGCTTAGTAATTTTAACCTCGATGCAATAACTTTTGTTTGTTTTTAGCAAGACAAATTACATTTTGTCCAGGGACAACGGATGTTGTTAACATCTCTTTACGGTAACAGAGTGTAAACATCTAATTAGCCTTTTGGCAAATTCTGGTATCCTCGTGAGACCATCCTGATATCGTGAGCTTTCAAAATTTAACTCGCTAATCAGTCTGGAGACTCTCCGTTAAAGAAAATTTGGAGCCGTTCACTAAACGAACGTCCAATCCGCGTTGGCTTTGAGGCGGGTTGAGGTGTGACGCAACGAGAAGCGCGACAGTTCAGTCTAAAGAACATGTCGGCTTCAGCCGATGAAACTAGCGTTAGCGTGGCTATCGAGCAAGTTTTATCAGAATTACAGAGTATTTCTTCACTGAAAGAAGAGCAAAACACTGCTCTGGAGGCTTTTCTCAGAGGAAAAGATGTTTTTGCTCTTCTCCCGACTGGTTTCGGCAAGAGTAGCCTGGCTTGTGGTTGTGTTTTCGTCGTTGCTCTGTTAGTACGACATATGCTTCGTTGATCTGATTGGTTTATTTGGCCCGTCTATCACCAACATAGGCCAATCAGCTAACCAGTATTTTCACCCCTTCCCAAAATTACTTCTACGGAAGGTTTCCAGATGGATATGCGGAGCAAATCCATCTGACGGAGTCAGGTTATAATTCTGGTGCTTACAGAACAAACTTTAGATTGTTGATTAATGTGCGTTATTTCTACCAAATAAATAAACCCTCAATCCTTGATATTCTGTGAAAGGATGTGCATCTAAAGTATGATATCGCGTCAAGGCAGTCATGTAGCAGAATTGTTGCGCTAATTGCACTGTCAGTGCATTACTTGCTGAAGCGCGACAGAGCACCAATTTTTGTTACAATCACAGTTTTTATTGTATGTCTGTCTTCTTTTGAAGATAGCATAAGCTAAGAATTAGCTCCAGACTTTGACTAGGCCATTGATCGAGCCCTGCCCTTGTAACTAGTTGTAACCTGGTTAGTAGGACATCCTTGTGTTTAAGCTCCGCCTGTCTTTAAATGTAATCAACCTTCACCTCCCCTATCCTTGCTGGAGGGAAACATCCCCACAGCATCATGCTTTCACCACTATGTTCCACTGGTGTACAGCTTGCGTTTTAAAACTAAACATTGTACAGGGCTGTCACAATACAAAAATTTCCAACTAGATATAATACCCAGGAAAATATTTGATATTGATACTTTTTTTGATGATAAATACCAAAGGGTATACAAAACTATAATTAATTTATTTGTATTAAAAAACTCCCCATTTTCAATCTCACCATGGAAGACTTTCTCAACTGGATCACAGATAGTAGCTAAATAGGTGTGCAAATAAATACAAACTAAATAATGCAACACAAACTGATAATATTTAAGGTTTTTGAGACATTATTCTTTTTAATGTGGAAATAATGTGAAGATCCAAAATAAAAATGGGCAAAAATACTCAAACAGCACTTTTCTGTAGTATTAATACATGCTAAATTAGTACTATATCCAGATACAGCATTTTGGTATCCATACTTTTTGGATTATTAATATTTTTGCCACCCAGAAGACCAACGAAATAGAAATAGAATTTTATTGATCTCACAATGGAGAAATTCACTCTCTGCCAGCATTCCCCCTTTGGGAGTGTTGGCCTATTGGCCTTCAGTTATATCTCATCTGATCAGAGATCTCCATCATGTTTGCTTCAGGGCATCTTATGGCCGCCTTTCAACACTGCTTTACTTTTTCGGAAGATTAGGGGAGTTGATCACTGCTAGTCCTCTTGTCAATCAGAGCTGCGACCCTCTGCAGCTCCTTTAGTCTCACCACCTCTAGTCTCACCTTCTGCATGCGGGTAATGCCTTGTTGAGAGAGCAGCTGTGCCTCACCCTCCATGTTCTTATGACGGATTGAACAGAACTCTGATGTGTTCAAAGCCTGGGATATTACTCTCTAACTTTCTGTAACTCTGAATTAAAATTCTCCACCTCTTCCTCTCTGACCTCTCTGTCTTCCTTAGTTTCCAACATGATGCTGTTTGTTCACTAATGTTCTCTAACAAACCTCTGAGACTTTTAATAGACTAGTTGGTCTTAGACTGAGATTAAATTAAATTTTATTTAGGAACGTTAGAGAAAAAAACATGAAAGACATGAATCAATTTCCTTCCCTTAAGGGCTCAATGCTAGCTCACTTAAATAACTTTGTACTCACAGATGGGATTCTTGTGCACATAATAATTAGATTAGGGTCATTTATGATAGTTTCTATTTGCAGGTAAAGCAGGAGAACTAGTGGATAGAGGGGACAACACATATGGAGGGAAGTTTGTGATCAACCCCAGCGGAGGCCTCATCTCTAAAGGACATCCTCTAGGAGCCACAGGTATGCAGAATGAGCTGGTTTTATCTCCATTTTACCCTGATTATTGTTTTCACTTGTTTTATTTCATAGTTGGTTTGGATTTGTTAAAGTAATAACAGACTAATGGTAACTGCCAAGAATTTTAGATTCTGATTTTTACTAAAAAAGTCTCCACAATGGCCACTAGAGGGCATTGGTCTCTCAATGATGGATGTTCTGACTGGAACTGGGTTAAAGTGGTCTTTGTGGTGCATGTGAAAGGCAGCTGGCTAAGATCCTGGTATTCCTTTACTGTAATCTCTTCACATTTTAAAAACATAGAGAACGAGCAGAGTGGGTCTCCCAGCTTCCTGCAGCGTCAGGATGCCGTAGGAGCTCACATCCAGGGGAACGTGGCCTGGAGATTCTCAACCGCAAGCGATAAATAACACCTTGGATTTCTTATAGATGCTTTCACCTTTTCTTTTCCTTTTTAAATTAAATCTTTGTCATATTTATCTTCTGACATTTTTATGTATTTAAACCTGATTCCTTTTCTTTTTTTCTGCTGTCCTTTAAATAATTGATTTTCATCCATGCTTCTCTCCACAAAAAGCATTTATCATACAAACTGAAAGGTCTGTGGAGAAAATCCACCCCCAGGAAGCATTTTTTTAAACTATTCCAATGACATCTTGGATACAAGGTTGTCACTGGTTAATAACTAGATGTCTTTTTGATGAACTACCCAAAGCGTTCGGCTATAAATCACAAGGAGAGGCTTAGGAGGCCTCTGATCAGACACTGAATTCAGGTGAATCTGTTAGGAGTAAGTCGGGTATGTCCAAAATTTCAATTTTATGGAAAAAATTGAATTTTTTTTTTCCTGGGTTCAATAATCTGTTGATTGATTTATATCTCATAAGAGGAAAATATTTAAAGCCTGTATTTTGTGTGTTTTTTTAATATAATTGCTTACAGATGATAAAAAACGTTATAATAGTGCATCAGAAGAATGAAAATATTATATTCAACACAAACGTCAGGTTTTTTGCGAGTATGTTCATTTCAATGCACTGGATATTTGGTTTGGGTTCCTTTTCCATGAATTACTGTATCGGTGTGGTTTAACATGTAGGCAAACATCCTGTTGTTATATTAAGGAGGAACGGAAACCCAGAATGAAGGTTAAAGGTCATCTGTATTGTTGTTTCTGGTGTTTTTCTTCCTCCTCATAATAGTATTCTATAGATTCTCCATGTTAGCAATAATCGGCTTGTCTTAAAAAAAATCATTTATTTGACCCAATTCATTCAATAAAACATGATTTTTATTAGAACTGACAGAATTATTAGTGGTTTCTATCTATCAGCTAAGTATAATATTTTAAGCAGCATTTCCAAATTGGATTTATTTTTATTTTATATGTTTGAAAATCTACATAATAAATGAAGGTTATGGATTATTACAGCTATAATATGTTTTTGCAGCAACTGGAATCATTGTTTTTGTTTAAAAGATGAACACAGAAGATTTAGCCTTCAATCTGACAGAGAATCGGATCCTATGCAGTCGTAGGAATTCAATGTCTTTGAAATGCATGGAGCTGCTATGTCTGCATGGTTACAACCGAGGTAGACTCCTGGTCTATCATAGTCGGACCTACACAGAAATTTAAGGCGATGTAATGAGTGACATCCGCTTTTAGGAAAGTAAAAAGTAAAATACACTGCAAAAAACATCTAGAAATAAGTAAAAAATGTCTTAAATTAAGTGTATTTACCCTTAATTTGAGCAGGTAAATAAGATGATCTGCCAATGGAATGAGTATTTTCACTCCTAAAATAAGATAATTAGATAATATACACTTGAAATAAGACAAAGCAATTGTCTTTTTCCTATTTTAAATGTAAATTGTCTTGTTTCATTGGCAGAGTGTCTCACCTACCTTCTCAATTCAAGAAAAAATGCACTTAATTTGAGCAAAAATTACTTATTTAGATTTCCATTTTTTGCAGTGTATAAGAATGACACGGTAAACCAGCCAGGTTCGTCTGGAAACGCACAATGTTTTTGCATTATGTGATCAATAAACATTTTACTTTACAGTGAAGTTATCTATTGTAGGAGCTCAGTAAAGAAAACCGATAAAGTGAAACAATGATCTTCTTTAAGCTTGTTAGATCAGCAACCGCTTTAACTACCGGCTTGTTTATGCAGGAGGAACTTCCAGTGCAAACTCTCCAGTGAATACTTGATCTCTTGTGGCTGATGGTCCATAAAGGGAACACTGTATGCAGCCAATATGACAGAAAAAAACAAATCTGAGCTTATAGTCTGACTTAAGCGACGTGTTCCTTAAAATCATGATAATTTGATGCAAGATTATCACGCAAGAATCAGAGATTGTTGATTAGAGATAGACCAATCCAGCTTTTGTTATGGCCGATGTCGATTATTTTGACATCGGTCTAAACCCAGAGGTCTGCCACTTTTCCTTTTCACAATGGCTCTTAATAACTTTAGCTAAAAATGATAAAGACCCAACTAGCTGTTTTAGATATAAAGTTGTGTCATTTTGTGAGGTTTATGCAGTTTTTTAAATGAAAATATTGTTTTGAATTTTCAGGTATAATGACAGTAAAAGAGCCTGTAATATATATTTCTGTCATTAGTTTAATTAGTTTTTATTATAAATTTCCAAAAAAGTCTTTTTTTTTCAATTTAAATTAAAATAGTGATGTTTCTTTACAAATGACGATACATTTTCTGCTGTAGATATCTAGCAATAATCATGAGTTTTTGTTTTTAATAAGGTCAGTTTGTGTTTCTGAGTTTTTACTTCAGGGGACTAGATACGAAAATGGCTCTTTGGTTTGCAGACCTCTGGTCTAGCTCAGCGGTCCCCAACCACCGGGCCGCGGACCGGTACCGGTCCGTCGGTCATTTGGTACCGGGCCGCACAGAAAAAAAGTATATATATAATTTATCAACGGTCAGAGTCTGAGTGATGTTTTATTTTGAAAAATATAAAAAATAGCGGTATTCTCTCCCAATTACATCAGTCGGTGCATCTGTGCCTGTTGACACAGGTTAATTCAGTTCAAGACTCATCCTATCTATAACATCCTATCTTTGTGAAGCGGGATTTTCTGCGGTTACAGCGACCAAAACAAAGCTACGGAGCAGGAGCACACTTCGTGTGTCATTGTCTCCGATTACGCCTAGATTGGACCGGCTTTTTTCAGAGAAACAAGCTTAGGGCTCCCACTAATTCAACATAATGGGGAGTTTTATTTTTATGCAGTTTGTATTGGATTTTATGCCAGTCGTGTCATTTTAATGATCGTATTTAGATAAGACACAATGATAGATAATGTCTTAATTAAAACAAGAAATGAATATTTATCAACAAATCGAAGAAAACATAATAGATTAGCAGATGGAGGGAGCTGCAATGCACGAGCTTTACCTGATGGTAAGCCATGGCTGCTTAATGCACTAATGAAATAAATCTGTGTATCTGTAGTTGAACTGCTGTACGATCAGTTTATATCATAACATGAAGGATTTACACACCTGTGCTTTGTTTAAATCATCCTCCCAGTGGAACTGTGCAGCCTTTTTTCTACTGGCATTCCAACAGTTAAATACTCTTGCAGAGTATTAGTTCACAGCTGTTGCATAAAAAAAGCACATATGGAAGCTAATTAAGATGGGATGATATGCTTAGCTATAATAAGTCAGGGCAGCACAGGAGCAGCCAAAGCGAAGGTTATGGAGTCGCATTACTAGTCAGAAAGGACCCTCTTACTCAGTCAAGCTTCTAATTGCTTTTAATTTTACAACCAAATACCACAATTTCTCTTCTCCTTGGGCATTCTCCAGTGGCAGCTAAATTGTGCTTTCCATTTGCATAGAGGTAAATGCATCTACACTGCTCAAATAAATAAAGGGATCACTCAAATATCAGATCCTAGATCTGAATGAATGAAATATTCTTATTTAATACTTTGTTCTTTACAAAGTTGAGTGCACTGACAATAAAATCACACATTTATTAACCAATGGAAACTTGGATTTGGAGTCAGACATAAAATTAAAGTAAAAAAACAGACAACAGGATGATCCAACTTTGATGTAATGTCCTTAAAGGTATACTATGCAACCGGTGTTGATTTTCCAGCGAGGCTCGCCCCAGAGGGCGAAAGTAAAAGTGCACTGTCGTAAATATGCTCAGCTGTTTTCCTGGTTTCTCCGTCAAGCCAGGCGCGGTTGTTTTGAGCTTAGCAGACAGGCGAACGCAACGAATCACCATGTCTACTGCAGTAGAGAGCCCTTTTCCTCTTTCTTGCCTGCTCCGACATGGGCTTTCGCTGTTTTCTCGCTGGTTCCGCCATGATAACTGCACAATTATTACCACTGCGCTAGCAACGAGCATGCCTTTCACTGGGGGCGTGTAGCAGTTCTCGCCATAAAGCAAGACCGACTCACGCGATGCCCGAGACTTCTGAGCCTGTAGGTGCGGGCCGAGGGCTCCTGCAATTGCAAGTACGGTATTTTCATCCAAAACGTTATGGAACACATTAATTAACTGAAAAATGTTGCATAGTATGCCTTTAAAACAGTTAAAAATGAGGCTCAGTATTGTGTGTGGCCTCCACGTGCCTGTACAGTATGACCTCTTTACAACACCTGGGCATGCTGCTAATGAGCTGGTGGATGGTCTCCTGAGAGATCGCCTTCCAGACCTGGATTAAAACATCCACCAACTCCTGAACAGTCTGTGGTTAAATTCGACAGTGGTGTATTGATCAAGACATGATGTCGCAGACGTGCCGAAACAGATTCAGATTTATACCAGCTGGCTAGCTCAAGTGGTAAGTCACCCATCCTGCAAATAGGAAGTCTGGGTTCGTATCCCAGCCGGGGGGAATGAGCTGCCAGTGTGGGTCCTTAGGTAAGACCCTTCATGCTAATGCCTACTTTGAAGATACTGAGGCAGTCAGAGACTGCCACTCTGGCTCCTGGAGCAAGACCCCCAAGTAGGGTTGGGAATTGAAAAGATTTTCACGATTCCGATTCCCTTTTCGATTCTATGAAACGATTCGATTCTTTATCGATTCTTTTTTCGATTCCAATTTGGGGGAAAAAGGAGAATAGTTTGATTATCAGAATCAACTTTGTTTACTTAACTATTGCACAATCTTACAAATTCAACAAGATCAAGATGTCCACAGGAAATGTGAAACTGGAGTAACATCTGTGTTTAAATGAAAAATGAATACAAGAACAAACTTAATAACCAACAATGTCTAATAACAAATGATGGGATAATAACCTATTTTAAATAAAAAAAAATACTAATTATAAAACAGTAGTAGGGAAAATTAACAGTTCTTTTGCAGAAAGATGAGCATATCTGCTTTTTCTGGAAGGATACAGGATCTCAGGGCTTATGGTGTTTCCAGCCGTGGAGAACACCCTCTCAGATGGGGTGGAGGAAGCTTGCACAGAGGTAGTTTTCAGCCAGTCCAGATAGCAAGGGCAGCGTATCTTGCTTGTTCCACCACCACAGTGTGGCGCTATCCCTGCAGGGGATGGAGGGCAAGCTTTTACAGAGCTGGATTTCCTGATCTACCCTCTGGGCTAAGGAAAGACGGGGCTTTGATTCACAAAGTGACCGCAGCACGTTGTTTTCCTCCTCGAATAGTTCTTCCAACTTGCGTAACTTGCGTAAGTTGCGTAACTTACGTAAAAAACGTGACGTAAGTCGTGCTCCCCAGAGCCGGCGCTCTAAGCTCTGGTGCTGCGGGAATCGAAAAAAGAATCATTCAGCGAGCTGCCAAACGATGCCATGGAATCGGAAAATACGGAACCGGTTCTTAACAGGAACCGGTTTTCGATTCCCATCCCTACCCCCAAGCGTCTTAAACGTCAGTCACCAAACACAAATTTCCAACACGTGGTGTATTTTCAATTTTTCATTGCTGATAAGAGGATTGAAACTGGCTACAGAGATGACTGACATTTATTTCTGTCAGGCTGAAGGGACAAAAGTTGGAAGAAAAAACGATTTTCTTGGCGTTTAAAAAAAAACACAACACAAAACAGCGTAAGAAGACCTCGTTAATGTATTTATTTCACAAATTTGTAAAAAGAGCAGCCGATTAAACAATGTTATAAAGTTAACATGATTATATGAGCTGTTTTTGCGAGAAATGATCAGGAGCGCCTTGAAAACGGTCAGTTCCGCCTCTCTGGCTGCAATGCGCGCTCCCGACACCGGGGGAACAGAAACAGAATTTCGCACAAGACCGGTTCAGACTCGGAGTTAGTACCCACCCTTTCCGATTGAATACCTGAAATGATCATTTGTTTTGGGACTTGTAGAAAGTGTTTCAAATCTTTTTTATTTGTCTTCTTAAAATGCTATTTGTTTTGAATTTTTAAAAGTGTTTTGTTTATTATTTTTTTTTTATGTAAATTTGTTTTCTGAAATGATAATTTATTTTGGAACTTGTAAAAGTAAAAAAAAAATGTATTTTTTGTTTTCTAAAATGATATATTTTTTTTGGAACTTGTAAAAGTTTTTTAGATTTTGTAATGTTGGTTTGCACCTCCCGGCCACCATACTTATCATTACATTGTCACAAATACAAAGCAACGCATTTTACTCTCTGCATTTCACCCATCCTCTTGGGGAGCAGTGGGCTGCCATTGTGCAGCGCCTGGGGAGCAGTGTGGTGGTTAAGGGTCTTGCTCAGGGACACAGAGTTGCAGTCTGTGGGAGTGGGGCTTGAACTCAGAACCTCTGGGATCGAAGCGCAATGCCCTAACCACTAGACCACCACTCCCCTGGGTTTAGAAGTTGATCTACAACTGCATTTTTGATTTTTTTTTCAGATACATGTGACTGAATTTTTGATGCTTTTATTCCCCCTTGCATAGAGTTAAACAAAGCAAGATGGATTTAGTAGATTTACATTAGCCGCTTTGTGAACTCAAAAGAGTGAGAAGGTTAAAGCTTTTTGCCTCACGTTCACCTTTGTCTTCCCTTCGCAGTGGTTCTTTTAGGCTCCCTGCCTTTCAAAAGATCATATTTTTCTGTCTGAAAGGGAAATCCAGTCCATTTAGCAAAGCATAACATGCAGACTTATAAAGATGTCATCTGGTGGAGCTGCTTCTCTCATTCATGTAATCCGTATGGTGATCATGCTTTTTTTTTATTTGCATATAAATCATCATCAGCTTCGGTCTCTTTTGTTGGTGTGTTTCCTCCCAGGTCTGGCTCAGTGTGCAGAACTCTGCTGGCAACTGCGTGGACAGGCTGGCAGGAGACAGGTCCCCGGAGCCAAAGTGGCTCTGCAGCACAACATTGGCCTTGGGGGAGCTGTGGTTGTCACTATTTACAAGATGGGCTTCCCGCAGGTGTCCAGGTGACCACTCAGACTTGCTTTCTGATAACTATTCCAGCACCTTGGAAAAACATCCATGCCCACTGAGCCTTTCTGCTTATTGTCACATTACAACTTCAGTTTTTTTTGTGTGTATTTAAAGTAAGAATATTCTAGTGTGTAGATTTGCAAAGCTGATGGAAATATATTAGGGGTGTAAATCACACCCATCATGGCGATTCGATTCAGTATCGATTTCCTGACCCAACGATTCGATTATTTTCTATACTCAAGAATACGCCACGATTCAATTCGATTAATAGGTTCTTTTTTTTTTTCTTACACCTTACAGCAGGCATCCCCAAAGTCGGTCCTGCAGGTTTTAGAGGTTTCTCTGCTTTAGCACAGCCGATTCTGATGATTGCAGTTCAGCAAAAGCTTGTTAATTAACTATCAATGTAAATCAGCTGTGCTGGAGCAGAGAAACCTCTAAAACCTGCAGGACAGCGGGCCTCGAGGACCGACTTTGGGGATCCCTGCCTTACAGGCTAGACAATGTTTCAAATTTAAAATAAATCAATGAAAGCTGTAATATCGGTATGCTTTTTTTTTTTTTTTGAGAAAATAACAGAAGTAGAAAAGTTGCACGCCATCTATTCCTATTAAAACCTCATTCATTGAAAAATAATAATACCCCTGCGTTATAGATTCTGCAAGGCTTTGCATCAGAAAATACTGCACAAAATCAGTGCAATGAGTTCAATGCAATACCTCGGCTCCAGACGTCCCCGCCCCCTCCACAGACGGGTTTTTCTGTTTCTCTTTATCAAGTGGGAATGCTTAAGCATTCCCACTTATTGTTTTTCTGTTTTTCTTTATTATCAAGTGGGAATGCTTAAGCATTCCCACTTATTGTTTTTCTGTTTTTCTTTATTATTATTATCATCAAGTGGGAATGCTTATGCATTCCCACTTATTGTTGTTCACTTAAAATTTTTCTGACTCTAACTAGTCCCGCAGTTTTCCACCGATTTCAACAATTTTGGTATCAAAACGTTCAGCTTGTTCAGGAGAATTGTGCTATGTCTTTTGGTAAAGATATTTTTTGTAGTTTTCGCGATATTCAACTTTTTCTGCGATTTTTTTGTCCCATTGAAATGCATGTAGAATTCTTAGATTTCAGCAAAATTCAGCTAAAACTTCATCATCTTTGACCTTTAACTACTTCAGCATACTTTCAGCTAGAAACACCATTCAACTTTTAAAATGTTTCCGTATCTTTCTGCTATTACTGTTTAACTCGGCTTTCAGCTAACTTTTACAGTTTTGCTTCAGTGAAGCTTCAAACTTTTAAACAATTTTTACAGATTTTCAAATTTATAATGGAAGTCTATGGACGGAATGTTCAGCTGCTAGAGTGTGCCACTCTAGCGATTTCAAACATTTCACTCATGCCGAACAGCTTCAACTCACTCGCTCATTTTTTACTCTATCTAGATAAATTTTACATCAAAACATAGGGATTTTTGTCAGGATTCAGGAAATGTAACCCTCATTTGTGTGGGATTTACAGTTTTCCAACAGTTTGGCCCAGACCACGAAGAAGTCCACACTTCCCCCATAGAAATCCAATGAGAGCTCTCTGAAAATCCGAACTGAAAATAAAAAAAAACAGACTTTTTCGTATCGCTCCCATTCTGGAACCATTCGACCTAGCAACATGAGCCTTGTGCAAGTTGTTCCTCAGACCTTCCTAGCACTCACATTGAAGGAAGTGTGTCGATATCTTTTATCGTTTAGCTAGGAAAAAGGTTTGTTCGGGGGTAACGAATCTGTCCGAATCCCAAAATCAAGATTTTGACAATTATACACTTTTTTACATCGTCACCACGCCTAGACCAAATATTGTAGAAATATGAAAGTTACACCAGTTGTAGTCCAAAGATTGCCGACGCTCACGGTGAAAGACTTTTTTGAATACCTTTTACGGTTTTGGCTCACCGCTCGTTTGTTCGCAGGGAAAGTTTTGCTTTTGAGAGTTCTGCTCTACCATTGAGCTGCATGTTATTTAATGAGACCAGCAGGATTTACAAACCTTTATATTTCTCCTTCCCATTAAGGCTGTGAATGAGCTACATCCATGAAAGTTACCACAATCGGAGACAAAGGATAGCTCTCGCTTAGACTGAAAGAATTTTTTAGATACCATTTACGGTTTGTCTTCAGCACCTGTTTGTTCGGAGCTGCTATTCCCATTCAAAAAAGCCTGAGAACTAAGGAACGAAAGTGAAGCGCATGTCTCTCTGTCACTGACAGGCTCATTAAGCGTTGTCAAGGTAACCGTGCTTCAAAGAGATTTTACCTCCACCACTTTAAACAGCACATTTGAATCTAATGGAGGGAGACAACACTGATTTAACATTAGGAAGTGGATACAATATGACTACTGGCCATGACCCTTCCCTTCACACGCAACCCTGATAGACTTTCAAAATAAGACTCCGGGGACCCTTCAAAATAAAAGCTCCTACATTAAACTCATATTTTTTCCCCAGCATATGGCTCAACATTATGACCCAAACTCAACCACATTTTTTAAAAATGAGACTCTAGGGGTTTTTCAAAACACAACCCACAGCAAATTTCAAAATAAAAGCCTCCCATTGCAACTTTATCTACTGCCCTAATAACAAGGGAAAAGAGTGATTTAACGATTAGAAAATCATAAGTTTTTCACTGCTGGGTCTGACCCTTTTCTACAACACAACCTGTAGACTTTCAAAATAAGACTCCAGTGACTCTTCAAAATAAAAGCCTCCGTATTGTATCATGTATTAATTGATGCAAAATGGCCCGAAATTTTGACCCAAACTCTACCAGCTTGTTTTATTAGACTCTAGGGACCTTTTCCAAAACATACCCCAGAGCGAATTTCACAATAAAAAGTCTCCATTTACGCTCTAATGCAGCACCTATTCATCCAATAACATGGAAAACCAGTGATTTCATATTTAGAAATGGATTTATATCACTGCTGGGGCATGACCCTTCCCTTGACACACATCCCTGATAGACTTTTCG